TCTCTCTCTCTCTCCACCCCCTTCCCCCCCCCCACTACCAAGGATGATTCTGTGTAATTGTGTGTCTACCATCCTTACTGATGGCAGGCCCCCTGCTGTGATTCCAGAGACGTACGAGCCCGCTTCTAATTTTATCTGTGCTCCACTGCTATTTTCATACAGCTACGATCTACTTTCACCTGTAAGATTCACTGGCTATCTCCCAGCCTCCTGAGTCTCCTAGTACCTCCGAGTCTGACAAGATTCGTCCAGGGCACTACTCTGCAAAGCAAACCACGAAAAATTAAGAATTCATGTGCAAGCCCTGCTACAAAGTAACAGGCATGAAACAAACAAACAGGATTTTTGGTTATCACGTGGCCAAAATTTTCTCCAGTTCCAAGTTGGAGAAATCCTCGAAGGTAACGCAATTTCACTACGGGTATTCCTTTCTGCACAAATTCCACAAAAGCCCTCCTTGAACGATATTTTCGTTTCCCCTCACTGCTTGCAGATCGATCATCTGCACAGGGGTAAAAAATATACACGGGGTCGGACCCTCTGGGCGGTAGGTAGCAGTCGACGGTTTCCGAGATAAGCACACAATGTTATGTAACCCTCTTATCCCTTCCCTTGGCTCAAGATGTGACTTCTGCTCACTCCTTGTGGGGACGTGTCGAGCAATATGACACGCAGTGGCAGGCGGTTGAAGGAGCAAAGGAAGCAAAATGGAGAAAGTCGAATTTCAAACTGGACAAAAGAAAGAATTGAGGCAGTCTGTTCAATTCCAGGAGTGCGGTCGATTACCAACATCTCCCCTTCCCGATAACCCCCTTCCCGCAGGCATGGCATGCATTGGGTGATGACCATCAGATGCGCGGTGTTGCGTCCCATTGTCAAGCTGTTGCTGAATGCTGTGAGAGGAGGGGTAAGAATACGAGTACTGGTGGGTCCACGCGGCAGTGGCAGATTGCGGCGGATTAGGAGGTGGTCCAGGCAGTCTGCTACCTGGAGTCGCATTGGCACCCCCGAGAGTATGATGGTTATAGTAAGGGTATTGCATACGAGGAGGGTTGACATGAGCTGCGGCGGCGGCGGCGGCAGCAGCAGCAGCGGCTACCGGATGGACGCCACCGATCACTGATGAGGACCGCATAGCACCCCCATAAAGGGCGGAATTGTGACAAGGAAGTGGCGGCTGGTTCATGTGCCCGTAGTCGCCAACTGTGCTCGCCCTGGAAGCAGGCCCTGCGTCTCGGAAGCTGGATGAGCAGCCACCCTGCCTCTGGAGATTTTGGCGCCTCAGCTGGGCGCGCTGTCTCTTGTGCGCGTTTTGATGACCCCCAAGAGCCTGCGAAGACGTGAACCGACGCGTGCAATAGCCGCAGGAATAACTGCGCGGTTCCACAGCACCCCCGCTAGCGGAAGAGGTGGCCATCCACTCCGATTCTCCCGGTCGTTGAATACCCGTGTCCTGAGATAAGGAGACCCCATGGTTGGGCGATATCGAGGACGACGACTCCTCATTGTGACTGCCGTCTGCAGTTTTCTCCCCTCCCGGTGACAAATGGGCAGGGCCCGGGAGGGTGCTCCGGGCGGCCCTTGTCTGAGCTGGCCCCAGCGAAGGGATACAGCTCCCAACCGGGCACGATGATGTATGGTTCTGGATTATCCTACCGTGACTGCCTAATGACAGCTCGGAATCGACGTCATCCATCCGTCTTTGATACGAGCCCGCTCCTCCTCCTGCTGCTCCTCCTGCTCCTCCCGCTCCTCCTCCCCCCCCGCCCCCTCCCCCAGTGCCTAAAACGTGCGACTGTTGCCGCCCTCTATCCAACGGAAAAGCCTCGACTGAGCCTTGCGAGAAGCACCCTACAGCATGTTGCGTGCCGTGCGCCCCAACCTCCACCCCGAAGATTTTGACAGAAGTCGCCATTTGTCTCTCAGTTGAAACGGAAACAGAAGTTGTGCCCGTCAGACTATCTCTCCTCCAATGATCGTTCTTTCTTCCCGCATCGCAGTTGCCCGATCCGCCAAGGTAGTCGATGAATGGACGCTCTTGTGGACATGATCCGCCTCTTCCTGGGCTGCCGCGTGGGCTCCCAGCAGCCGGACTAGATCTCCTGTTGAGATCCAGACCTCCCTTCCTCTCTTCTAAAAGGCTACCGCTGCCCGAGAGTCCTCCAGGTTGGACAGTTACCTCAGGCGAACCCCTGCACGGCTGTAACAGTCCCTGTCCCAAGCAACCCCCACCCGGACCCCCTCTGACGTTGCAGATGATCTCGATCTCGACCCCGACTGCGATTCGTTGCGATGGCCAGCCACTTTCGACGAGCCGCTCGCTGGACCTGCACTGGCAGATGCTCTGCAGCTTTCTTCCCTCAAGCTGGTTACGATCACAGACTCCTTGCTGCTTCTTCCCACAAGGGCATCTCTGTTCTCTCTCCTGTCTGCTCCTCCCGACGAGCACACGGCAATCTGCCAGGCTTGGTCCCCTCCACCTTCTCGTCCAGCTTTCGCGCCAACTGACTGGTTCGGCTCAGACGTCGGTGAGTGCTCCTTGATGCTAGGCAAGCTGCCCGAACGCCTCATGTGCTGCTAGCTTCCCCGAGGCACCCTCTAAGCCGTATTTGGTCACCAGGAAGAGGTTGCTACACTCGGAAGGTTCCAGCCAGCGACCACAAACACTTAATCAATACAATTCATCCAAGGTGCACAAAAGGAGAAGCCAAAAAAAGTGAAATGCTCGAAAGAAGTTGACTGCCATGACCAAGAAAGACGCCTGTTCACGAATCAAGACCAAATTCTAACCAAAAACATTCACATCCAGCTTCTGTATGTGAGACAAAAAAAACAGGTCTATGACTCTATGCAGCGTAAGAAGACTCAAAGACGAAGCAGGAACGTAGAGCAGCTAACAAAGGAAACTGCCACTGGCAATCACCATTGGTTGAGGGCACACTTCACCATGTGCAAGTGATCCAGTGGGACGTTTGCAGCACATCCATACACGATGAGCAAGTTCATATGCATCTGTGTGACACACACACATCCACACACACACACACGGAGAGAGAGAGAGAGAGAGAGAGAGAGAGAGAGAGAGAGAGAGAGAGAGAGAGAGAGAGAGAGAGAGAGAGAGAGAG